ACTTTTTTTATATTTTTTATTTTCAAAATTTTCATAAAATTTAACCTTCAAATCAAACTTCACAATTCTTTTTTTTTAAATCTATGGTCATAGCTTTGGAAATATAAAATTTATCCATAAATAAATAAATCAATCAATCAATTTATCATCGTTATTTAGGAAAATATTAAATTTATTAACTAACATACCATAAAATACGCTTATGATTTAGACAATTATAGTTTACTTTATTTATATTAATTGAAGAGAGTAATATATATATGAACATATATTTTCAGAAAATTTTTAGCCGAAAAAATCAAATAAACTTATTATTATAAAATATTATCTGTAAATAAAATTTATATTTGTAATATAGGTTTAGCGAATAACATCTATTTTATACAAGTAATATAGTATATCTTGGTGCTTCCAAAAGTATATTACAATTTTAAATATATTATATTATATAACAATCTATATCATCTACAAATGTAGACTACTATTACTGGACGACCGCAACTTTTTCAAGCCCCGACATTCTGTACAAATTTTATTGTGAGTATGCTCATGTGCAGAGATTTTCTGTTCGAATTCAATGTAGAAAATATCGAAAAATAATCGTGAACGCGTTCAATATATTCAGTATTGCTACAATAAGAAGGAACAAAATTAGTAAAATTGACATAATTAGACAACGGACTACTTGGAGAACATTGATGCTCCATTATATGATAAAATAATGAGAAAATGCACAAGACATGTATATGATGTACTGCAATATTTAAGTGTGAATTTATAATTCAAACATTTTATAATTTGATGTACATCTTATCTAAATATTTAATATCATCTTTTTATTTTTCAATTAACATAATATAATCTGTCTTATACAGAAAATTAAATAATATTATATAAATTAATATCATGAATTATGGGTCGTAATTAGCTAAATTATAATTACATAAATTAATGACCATAATTGTTATAATAGAAAGTTAGTATTAATTTTTTTTTGTTTTGTATTTATAAATTTTTTTAGTCTATTACTAAATTGTAATGATATATAAATTAATTTGATATATCATATGCATATATTGTCAAAAGCATTAAAAATATAATATTATATTTTATTAAAAAATGATATAAAAATATATATAATAAATATTCTATGACCAATATATATTCTAACAATTTATTTTTTAAAAAATAATTATGTTGATTATAGATAAAACTATGTATTAATTTATTATATTAGAAAAAAAATATGCAACATATATGTTAATATGAGATATTGTATTTGAATGTTATATACATAATTTTGCACAAATAAAGACGTTATTTTGTTAAGTATTGATAAATTCTTAGCATATTTATATATATATATATATGTGATAGTCTACACATCATAATAAATTCCTTTTTGGTCAGTACCAATTAATCTTTCTCAATAAAAAATATGAAATTATTTTGATTGAGATCTTAATAACTCAATATTTTAAAAATATGTTCTATACTCATACTCATTTGAACCACAAACAATAACCCCTTAAAACATGTTTCCTAATGAATTACTTCAATGAATCACCATTTGGGTTAAAAAAAAAAAAAAAAAAACTTTTGATTGTTTATGTCGATCACCTTATTCAACACACATGAAAATTGTGTGAATGTGGTACTCCTGATCGTGGACATCGTCGAATTCTCAATATCTCTCTATATTCTAGCCATTGAAATGGTCTAAGAGATCAATGGAGATGAAGAAATTGAAAATTTGCACGTAGTGAAAAATCGAATCCAGGCGGTGAGGAAACACGGCAGCGGTGGACAACATCACGGACGACACCGATGGCAAAGGAATCAGGAGGCGAGGGATCTTGATTCACGGTGTCGAAGAATATGAGAGGTGGGGGTGGTTGAACTTCGGCGACTTTTTTACGACGGGACGATGGAATGTTTTTTGGGCGCAAGACAAGCGATAGGATTTTGGTGCTATGAATCGGTGGGAAAGGAGGGAGAATTAAATTATGTTAATTATTTTTTTATTTTTCTTTTTTCTTTTTTTTTTCTTTTTTTTTTTTAATTACCGAATGTATTCAAATTTTATAAATTAATTGTGTTTCATGGAAAGAATAAAATATACTATAAAATATAGTAACAAAGTATGGTAAAAAATATTATATTAGGTGTATTATATAACAAATATTTTTGTAAATAATTGTGATTTATTTTCCTAAAAATAAATCCCTAAGTTCATACTGAATTTTTGTAATCAATCTTATCATTTTAAAAAATGATAAACCGCAAATGATTCCCAAAAATATATTATCTTGTCGTACTACTTACATCATTTTTGGATATTTCTCACGTCATATCGTTCATGTGTAATTGTAAACTATACACCATCTTAATGCCTTGTACGAAACATATGTTCGTATTGCCAATATCGTATTACTTTTGATGTAAATATTACGATTAAAATTTACTATATCAGATTTGCATAATTCAGGGTGATTCTTATTGCCAAATATAACGTATATAATTAATGTTATTGATTTTTTTAATTAGAAAATCATAATAATAATTTTAATACAATATCTAAAATGCCCTGAGTCATTATAAACTGCAAGATTATAAAATTAAATGATCTAATGGATGAGATTAAAATGCCCCCCGTCATTAATATATGCTCAGCACTATACCAGCCGCCCACCACGCTAACAGGGATATGCCACATAATAAGTCACCTTAAAAATAAGGCAAAATTGTCCATAACTCCCTTGTGGTTTCGAAACTCAGCCGTAAATTCCCCTTCTACTTTAAAAATTGCATGACGTCCCCTTATACTTTAATAAAAGTTGCATGAAACCACTTTGTGATTTCGAAACTTAACATAAATTCCCATTTTACTTTAAAAAATTGCATGACGCTCACTTATACTTTAAAAAATATTGCATAAAACCCCCTCTGCCATGCAAAACATATAGTTAGGAAATCATCTTCTTATCACATGAGGAAAGTTTCATGGTGGTGGAGTTTTATGCAACGTTTTTTAAAGTATAAGGGGGTACCATGCAATTTTTAAAGTACAGAGAGATTTTACGCTGAATTTCGAAACCACAAGAGAGTTATAAGCAATTTTACCTAAAAATAATAATGATGAATAAAAATTGTGAGAACCCATTCTCTAAATAGTTTTATTTTATTTTTTTGTTCATTGCATGGAGGAAAGAACAAATTATATATATATATATATATTATTTGTTAAAAATTTTGGGAAAAAATAATGAGATTATTTTATTAATTATTAAAATAAGGGGCTTATATATAGACAATACAAAACAAACTCGATAGACTCATATATAAGTACTTTAATCTATGTATAAGACCAAATATAAATATAAATCTACTAAATCTAAAATTGAATATCTAAAATATCTCAACATCCCTTAAACTCAAGTGGTATAATAGAAATCAACTTAATTTTGATAAGAAAGTTGAATATAAACACAAATAAAAATAACAGTTGACTCTCCGCCAGAGCTGAAAATGAGATAACTCTCCACCGGAGACAAAACGATATGATTCCACCGGAGACAAAAACGACATGATTCCACCGGATTCGAAAACGACATGACTTTCCACCGGAGTCGAAAACAACATGAATTTCCACTGGAGCCGAAAAACAAATAGATCGCAAACACCAAACAGATCGCACGCAGACAACAGACAAGCAACGGACATATGACAGATCGCACGCAACTAACAGACTAGCAAGGGACAGATGGCATATCGCAGATAGGTTTCATATCACACACATGCAACATACAAGCAGTGGACAGACGAAAGATCGTAGACAGGTTTCAGATCGTACGCAGGCAACAGACAGATAACGGATAGATGACAAATAACATGATCTCAAAATCACAAGACCTCGGTACACTCCAGGTTGAATGTACCCGGAGAAACGCAGATTGGTAAACTATATCTACGACACGAGAAAAAATTGACTCATATACCATGTTAGAAATTTTGGGAAAAAATAATGAGATTATTTTATTGATCATCAAAATAAGGGGTATATATATAGACAATACAAAACAAACTCGATGGATTCAAATCTAAGTAATTTAATTAAGACCAAATCTAAATATAAATTTATTAAATATGAAATTGAATATCTAAAATATTTAAATATTATTTTTAATTAATATACTTATCTATTTGTCAAATTTAATTTAATTTTTTTTATAAAAAATAAAAAAAAGAAGCTAAATTTGTAGCTATACTTGATCTCAAATATTTTGCAATATTTTTTTTTATTTGTCTAATATTTCTAAAATATGAAATAATTAGATATATTTAATCTTTATTTCACACTTTATCACATTATATCACTCAAATATATATATATATATATTTTCTCATCATATCATTTAATTTTCAAATTATCCTTTTAATACTATTACTCACCGAAATTTCCTGGAAACAAATATTACGTCATGTTTGAGATGAGGGAGCATATAATTTTTAATTAAATTACATTTTAAAAATAATTGTAATAATTTAAACATTTTAATTATATAAAATATATAATTAAAATTAAATATTAATTTAGTATTTTAAGTTTTTGTATAAATTATAGGTTTTTAAAATAATATTTTTACATAAAATTTTGTATTATATGAAATAATAAATTTGTTAATTTGGCGTAAAAAGAAAATACAAGAATGATAAACAATTTTACAATGCTAGGAAAAAAAAAAGTAGTTCTTATAGAATTCTTACAATACTGTAGTATGTAGTATGATGTTGTGAAAAGAAAAAATTCAAGAAAACTAAAAATTGGTTCCTTATTATACGTAGTTTTCATGAAGTGAGAGAAAATTTTTAAATAAATTGTGTGTGTTAATAGTTATGAATACTTGTAAATAAGTTTAATATTGAAAAATCTAAATTAAAAATTATGTAATTCTTTTATTAAAAAAAAAATTATAATTTTTATGAATAGATAAAAAGAATAACAAACAAAAATTTGATGGAAGGATTGATATACAAAATGGAAAAGACAATTAACATGAATTACATGGATCATACAATTAATCTTAAAAAGACAGTAAGAAGGCGGAGGAGTGTAACGACAACCACTCAATTATTTTCTCAACAATTATACTATACGTCTTAGTTAGCCTTGAACGCTTTGGCAAGGGCTTTTGAGACGGCGTGCAAGCTCATGCCGCCGGCGACCACCAAATTATGGCCCGTCACAAACGCCGCCTCGTCGGAAGCCAGAAATGCCACCGCCTCCGCCACCCTTTCCGGCGTCAGCGTCACCCCTTGCAAGGCACACACCGTCCCCAACGCCGCCTCCGTTGCCTCGACGGTGCCAAGCCCTATTCTCGCCGACATAGGCGTCGCCACGACCGCCGGCGAGATGCAGTTAATCCTTATCCCGTGCTCCCCTAGCTTCTGGTACGCCGACCCCATCAGCCCCACCACGGCGTGCTTCGAAACCCCGTAGTCGACGTTCAAGGGAATGCCGACTTCGACGGCCGCGCTGGAGGAGCACACGATCGACCCGCGGACGCCGAGCTCCACCATCTTGAGCGCCGCGTGCTTCACACACGCCGCCATGCCGCGCGTGTTGATCTTCATCAGGGTGTCGAAGACGGAGAGGTCGAGGTCCAGGATGGATTGGTTGGGCTCGCTTATCATCCCGGCGTTGCTGAACATTACGTCGAGGCTGCCGTAGGCTCCGACGGTGTGCGCCACCATCGACTTCACTTGCTCTTCGTCGGTGACGTCGCAGTGGAAGTAGCTGCACCGGTCGGATCCGATGGACTCCGCCACCGACCGGCCCTTCTCGTCCTGGATGTCGCCGATCACCACCGCCCGCGCGCCGTAGGCGGCGAACAGGCGGGCGGTGGCTTCTCCGATGCCGCTGGCGCCGCCGGTGACGATGGCAACTTTGCCTTGGAGCTTCTTGCTAACTGAAGCGGCCGCCATTTTTGTCGGTATGTATGTATACCTTGGGAAGCTGAAGCTGAAGCTGAAGGAGATATTGTTGTTGTTATATAAATGTGAAGGAAATGAATTGAATGGATGGTTGGGATCATCGGTCCAAAATGGCACGGAACCTCAGTCGAATATGTACCCGGTCTACTCACGCTACAAAAAAATAATATATTTATAACGGAATTCCGTCCCTAAAGTTCACGTAGCTAACGTAATTTCATTCCTAATTCCGTCTCTAATGTCATTAGTAACGGAAAAAGTAGATTTAGAGACAAAAAAATTTTGTTACAAAAATAATTTTTTCTTGTAGTGTCAGTCGAACCTCTAAAAATGCGACGCGTGTCTAGTGTTTATTATTAATATTACTATTTGTTTTGAATCAAAATTTATTTAACACAAATTGCAATTTAACCTCTCCTCCTATTTTAAATATCTCCCTTCTTGAACCCAAATCCCCCTCCCCCACTTGAGTGCGACGTTCTGCCCAGCTATACGGCCGCTGACGCCACCGCCAACGCGTCCGCCCAGCCGCTGACGCCACATACATCCGCCCCTTGGCAGCAGGGCGGCCCATGCTAATTACTCCATATAAAGTTGAACAAGGAGGATGGCCAGCCACCCATGACTCAACAGTCAAGAGATTATTTGAATTGAAAAAAATAAATTTTTTTCTTTAACAAAATATTTCATTAAACATTACTTTCGTATTAAATTCAAATTATTTTTTTTTCCAAACTCATAAAAAAATCACATCCTAACTAAACTGTGTCTACGTACCTTTATTTATTTTATATATTCAATTAAATATGTCCCTCTCACATGTAAGATAAATACGTTACTTACAAAATTTGCACATGATGGTAAGACTTGAACAAGGAACGTCTACCTCTCATATATGACGCTAAAAAACCGTTTTATTTAAAGCTTAAGCTTAAAAGAATATAGAAGATGCACATATATCGCTTATTAATGTGTATCGCTTATTTCTTTACATACAAAGAATTCAACCAAAAAAAAAAAAACAAACATAAAAGAGAGAAATTAATGAAAAAAAAATAAAAGTCAAGATAATATATATATATATATATATAAATTAAGGGTGTGTTTTTTAAGAAGTTTTGAGAAAATTTGAATTTGGATTTAGTTTTTATTTTAATTTTAAGGTGAGTTTGAATTTATGTGTTTTTTTGTATTGAGATTTGGATTGAGTTGGAAGAATATTGATGTGTATTGATTTGATGGTAATAACTATAATAATATCATTGTGTATTAATTTGATTATAAATTTATATTATACATACATATATATTTCTAAATTTTTATTTATTTGTATTATAAAAAAAAATTATTTTCTATTAAATAAAATATATATTGTATATATTTTATTACATTATAATTATTATAATTTTTTTTTTTATATTTATAATTAAAAAAAAATAAAAATAAGAATAAAAATAAAAGGAAAAGAAACCGACGCTAGCAGCGGTCAGCGTCTGTCCTTCGAACCGGCTCCAGTCCAAAAGTGGGCCGGAGAACATTGCAGTGTTGCAGGCAGGCAGGCAATCACAGCCACATGCATTCGGTGCAATCACAGCCACATGCATTTGGTCCTGCATGCTGTCGATGGTGGATAGATCACTTGGTGCTCGCCATCCACTCAATTATTAGGGTGCTGCGTACCTCTGCTCTATTTTTAGGTGCTGTTCGAAAGTATACACTGAGTAAGTTTTCGGTTGAACTTAATACCTCTATTCTATTATTAAATTATGAACAAGTGGCCTAAGGCCATCTTTAACCGGTCAATTCCATTTACGCCGTAATAACTGAAAAACGCAGTTGCTACAATAATTTTACTTAAACTCACAATTTTAGTTTTTACTCCAAAACTAATATTCTTCTTCAAATATTTCATCTTATATATTATTTTAAACCACTTTTTATATCTACAATTAATATTTTTTTAAAAAAAATATAAATAAATAAATAAATTAATTAATATACAATTTTTTTTAAAAAAAAACACACAACGCCATGAGAATGGCATTGCAACAGTGCAATACAAAAAAAAAAAAAAAAACACACAATTTTTTATTTATTTATATTATAAAAAATTTATTTTTATAAAATAACATGTATATTTTATATATTTTATTAAATTATAATATTATAAAATTTTAATTTAAATTAACAATTAAAAATTAAAAATTAAAAAATAATAAAAAAAAATAAAAACCAAAACCATGAGCGCCTGCAACTTTATCTCTCAATCAAAAGACATCCCGGTTCAGGGAGTTTTACTGTGCAAATAGTGTTTCCATAATAAAACTTCCCAAACAGACCCTCAGTAAATAATTAATACTTCATTTGTTCCACTGTAATTAACATTATTTTTATTTTTGTGTGTCCGTTAATAATTGATGTTTTTCTATTTTTGGTAAAAAATAATAAAATTAACATATATTTAACAAATTTAAATTAACTTAATTACCTGCATAACATACAACATCATGCGTAGCGTAGGATCCACAAAAAATAAATATTTTTTTATCTATATTTAAAACTACATATACTTTATAAAATTGATTTATGTTAATTATAAATAAATAAAAATATTTTTTTATTTACTTGTATTATAGAAAATTTTATTCTCAACAAAATAATATTCATATTGCATATATTTTTTAATTGCTATATAATTTTTAAATATTTAAAACATATATTTTATTTTTTAATCATATATATTAAATTTACTTTAAAACTATAAATATTATTAATTATAAAAAAATGATATGATAATATCATAACTAATTATTATTAAATAATTAAATATCATTACTTTAAATACAGTCTCTCTGATCAAATGGTTTATTACAAAGTAGCTATTTTATTAAATACCCCACTTTTTTCACAAATACCTTTATTTTACATCACATCATTACTTTTATATAAAAAAGTAAGGACAAAAATGTCGTTAATTTTTACCTATCCACTATAATTAAAATACTATTATTTCTTAAACTCTGCGCAAAAAATAAATATATATTTATTGTTTACACAGAGGGAATAATAATTACGGCACGTAATCGTTAGTTTATTGGTTCAAACCCCAGCATCTCCGTATGTACCTGTCACACATGGCATTGCTCTGTGAGACTGGTCTGCATGTGGATGATATAATAAAATCGAAATTAATGCTCCAAAACTTAGGATAAATGATTAGATTTACCTAAAATATAAATCAACTTGAGTGATCTATAAACAATAAAATAACATTTTCCTAAAATTGAGATATAATTGATGATTGTTGATTATATAATTAAATTATATTGAATTATGATTTTCAAGAATTATCAAAAAAAGAATTTTTATGTTTTCAGTCAATTAAGCATGAAATGTTAATTTATAAATATAGTGGGAAAATATAAATTGCAGTAACGTTTGCGGAAATATGCATGAGTTTGATATTTTTGTTTTAATTTGATTGTTTTTTTTTTTTTTTTATGTGAATTTAATTTAAATATTTTTTTAATTGAATATTTGTTACGTATAAAAAATAATAATAATAAATAATAATGATAATAGCAGAGTAAAAAGGAAGTCGGTTGGGCCAGCCGTCCATCTAAGGGGAGATAAGGCAAACAGAGCCGGTCGGTTGGTTCGCGTTCGGTTGGTTCACCGTCGGTTGGTCCGAGGTCGGTTGGCCCGTGGTCGGACCAAATGAGGTCGGACGGTCGGTTGATCCGGTCGGCTAATACGGAGGTCAGACCAAGTGAGGTCGGACGAAGAAGAATAAAACGAACTATACGAGGTCGGACAAGAGATCAGATGGTGGCCGCTTGGTGGGGCGGCCAAGGAGTCGTTTGATCTAGCGATCAGTTAGTCTCTGGATTGGTCGGTTGAGTTATGCTGTTGGCGAGACGGTTAAAGACACGTGTCAATGGAGGAGAAATTGATGGGCGGGTGATAGCAGCTGCTGTAACCGACCAGGCGACGGTTCAGAACGTTTCCATAGGAAATATTTAAGGATTTGGGTCTATTTTGAAAAATCATCTTCAATCGACATCAAATTCAAAAGAATTGCCTTTGGAGATCACCACTTTATTTTCCAGTCTATAGTTTTATTTTCCTATTTTATTTATGCATCCTACAGTGTTTAGAGATTCCTAATCTCAGACACTAATTATATCAAATTCAAAGATAATTTCCTATTTTCGAATTTTGCTTTTTATTGTTGAAAAATTGCATCAACAAATTGGCGACCACAGTGGGAGAAAGGCAAGATTGCTGATCCTACGTCAAGAGAGAATTTTATACGACTGAGGTACAGCCAAATCATCAGAAGGATCCATATGGCAGACTCACAGCCCCAAGTATCTCCAACACCGGTGGAAGAAACAATTTCACCACCTGCTATGCCGAATGCAGGCGAAGCACCACAAGTATCTGCCGATTGGGTGTTATGTTCAACATTTGAACAATCAGCAAACTTTGGCTTTGCAGAACATGTTGCATGAGCAACAAAATCTAATGCATAACATGTTGGATCAGGTCTTCTCTAAATTCACACTACATTCAAACATGCCTCCAGCCTTGTCACCTTCTCGCTTTTAGGCAACCTTTCCAGGATCAACATTTGCAGGGCCAACATACATTGATAGTACATTTCCAAGCGTCACAACTTTCAACCGAACAAATATGGGGAAGACTCCTCTAACTTTCCCAGATAATGTTCATTTGGGACCAAGAGTTGATAATACTCAGCCGAATATCGTAAGGGAAGAGAGATTGGGAGGACAGACTCATAATCCCATCCTAGACGAGCCAACCGTCCCCAGAGAAAAGAGGTTGCGGGGACAGACCCATAATCTCATTCCTGTATTCGATCCTGTTCCACCCAGAATAGATCCGGAGGACATCGCTTAAGTTTTACGGACGCATTTCGGAATGAACCCGCAAACGGTGAACTGACCGGCGTATCAAAGACCTTTTCCAAAAAGGATCATCGATGAACATCCTCTCCCAAGAAATTATAGGCCACCAGATTTGCATTCTTTCTCTGGAGAAGATGGATCCTCCACCATAGAGCATGTAGGTCGTTTTATAGCGCAGTTGGGAAAAGTCGGTAATAACCCTTTTTAT